AAAACAGAGCCCTGGGGAACACCGCTCGTGACCGGCCGGCAACTAGACTTAACTCCATTTACCACAACTCTCTGGGCTTGGCCACCCAACCAGTTTTTTACCCAGCGTATTTTTTTTTCCTCAGACAGTTCCCCGCCACGTTGGCATAGCTCATGAGGTGCCGGCACGGAGAGAAACAACAGGTTGTCGGGATGATTCCAATTCCCTGCCGGTGTCTGGCTGGTAGGTGAGAGGAGCAGTGGCCACCTCACAAGCCCAGGCCGTGCACCGCATCGTTTGGGAAAGAACTGTACTGCTGTAGCCTTGTTAGTACGGCACACGCTTTTAAACAGCTGGGTATGTACCCTAAGCTGCCTGCAACACCTGGCTTCCAAAAAAATGGCTCTGTGAAGAGTTATCAACGTATCAGTCCTTTCTGTAAAGGTCACGATGCTGTTACCTTTCCCTTGAGTTTGCCTAAACTTGCCCTAAGCTACCTTCTGGGCATCCTATAAGAACATTTCTCTTAAAAGTGTTCTAGGTCTGGATTAAAACATAATTTAATTTTGCATCTGCTTGCAGGTAAGTACCTACGATCAAAACTACAGTTGAAGGGTGAATGAATTGGGGAACTCATGGTATGCAGCTGTGGCACACACGCAGGCAAGTGGATGGAGAAGTGCAGCTCCCTTGGTCTGGCACGCTCGACAAACCAAATGTCCGCCACCATGCAGAACGTCTTCTTTTCGCAGACAGCTAAGTTCAGGGCATGAGATCTTCTGCCACGGGAAGGGAGGATGAATGTTTTGTTGCACCAGGAGCCATATGTGCTCTAAAACAGACTGAGCTGGGGCTTGGGTGATAAATGTGCCCTGTGGTTTGTGGACAGGAATGCGTGCATGCTACAAGAACAGGCTAGGCTCTACGCTGAAAGGTACAAGGGACTCCAAAACCAGCACTTCCTTGGTCAACCTTTCACTTCTGCATTCTGCCTGGCTCTCTTAACAGAGGTGGAAAGGTACCTTGCAGTCAACCTGAGCCCTGGATTGCAAAAGCACTAGTCGAGGACCAAGAGGCTATCCAAACTCAAAGGGAGTGGTATGTCCTATAGTCGAAAGGTTGTCCTCGGCAAAATCCTGAACTAAAACATAACATGTTGTTACAACGTAATCTCAAATCCCTCGCTTGCAGTCCATGCAGGCATTCACCAGCATATTCAGGGAGCCAGGCTGAGTCATCCCAGGCTAACCCATCTGATGCACTCTGTCCCGAAATGTTTCTTCACATTCTGTCTGAGGATATAAAAAGTAATGTGTCTGGCACAATCTATACAAAGTAGCCTGAAATGGGGATATTACATAAGGTTTTCTGCACAGATCTAGTACATCGATGGATAAGTTGTGCTGTTCAGGGAACAACATTCAGACCAATTCATGATCTCTAAAGTAGCGTAAGTGCACGCGGCCCAGCCTAGGCCTGCATCAGACTTGATATCGAGTGGAGAATACAGAACTGATTGCTGAGCAGGTCTGCAGAAGCTACCTTGGGTCTGGTGAGGCCAGCAGTGAACTATAGGAATTACTTCCCAGCTGGTGCCAGGCTAGGTCTCGTAGAGACATTAAAATGATTCCTCGATCACACTCCCTTTGCTTACACATAGCTGGCATTACTGAACACCCTGAGTCATAGATAGTGGAGAAACAGGCTGCATGCTTTCAAAGTATCAACACACAAATAAAGCAATGCAATTACATTGTGGTCTATTCATGCTGCATGAAATCAGAGGTTTTCAAACTGTAGTCACAGACTGATACAGGATCATGTTTCACACAAAATTCAAATTAGGGGAGTTCTTTGCCCTAGGGTCACTTTTCCATGGGTAGAGTTTTCTTAGTTGCTCTGGGTTTTGCAAGTCAGCCTCCACCACTGGTCTTTCGTGCTTAAAACTACCTTGAAAGTGTACTGGTTTCTGCTGTAATAGCAGTAGAAATTGTTAAACATCAGCTATGTTTCTCCTGAAATGTAGTCACGTTTTCAGAGTGAGTTGAATCTATCTGTGCCCAAACATCACTGGAACCATCTTCAGAGTAAAAAAAATCTAACTAAAATTATTTAATCTGCAGTTCTTTGTCTGGCCTTTTTTTATATACATAATTGTTGTTTTTTAGTCAGCAAAAATTACTACATACATGTTAGGACAACATGCTTATGTTTAGACAAAACTATTTAATTTTCTTTGAAAATACTTGCTAGACTTGTAATCAGTGAACAGCTTACGCCCTGAATTTTTCAAGGCTTATGAAGAAAGCAGCAGCTTCTGTCCAGGCAAGCCTTACTCACAATGGAATTTTTTGCAGCTGCCCCATAAGAATCTGATGATACCCAGTGCTAGGATGCTGGAGTGACAATGAGAGTGGATGAACAGGGAATATCCACCATCCTTTTTCCTTGTATGTGAGAAAAGACATTGCATAAACAAAACCAGAAGAAAACAACAGGCCACAATGACTATTCAGTGCATGGAGGCAGGACATTCATTTCTCAAGTCAAGTAGGGCACCCAGAGAAGAATTTTGTTTGGCCCTGCATTGTCAGTACAGAAATTAGACCGAACAGGAAACCCAAGAAAATAAATCACAGTAACTTTAACATGTGTCAGAAAGGTTCCCTTGATACTCAGTATGATTTCTTTCCTCTTTTTTTTATTCCAATATTTTCCAGTTCTACACCTTTACTATTTTAGAAGTCCAAAAATATAGGAAAAAAATTAAGTCTTAGGTTCTTTTTATTTTCAACTGTGTATGTCAGAGATAGCTTTAGAACAAGCTAACATTACTGTGGTTCAGGTGTATGCAACTGGTACAGTTCAGTAGTACATAAACAACTCTAAAACAAATGCACTGTAGAACTTAAATTACCAAAAATAAACATATTAAACTATGTATGGCAGTAGGTAAAAACAGTTACCTTTAGGTCTCACACACTAAAAGAAAAATATCTAATTATGATCAAAATTATAATGTTCTACTACAGATTATTGAGATATATTACAAAGGAAAAGAAACTTGAAGTTGTTGTCACATTTTGGTTTTGTTCCAGTGATGTACAGTCACATGAAATCTTACATCAGTTTTTCATGAAATTAACATCTAGTTACTTTAACTACAATATCTGATGAGTTTATAATGGGTTTTGGTGGGTTTTTTACATTTCTGAAAAACTTCCATTAAAAAACATTTAAAGTAAAATAATGTTGCAGGTTGTTTACAGATTCCTTATGGATTATAGGATTAAAAGCAGTCAGGAAGCTGCAGTGTTTTTAACATTGGTAAACAAATACTGGATTAAAGTGCAACAGTCCTTCTGACAGCACACCTGCTCTGTGCTGAAAGGAAATCTTTTCCTCTCTGCAGAGAAGTGAAGAAAAATTTCAGTGTCAGGCGTGTTTCTCCCGAAAGTCAGTGATGGCCTTCCAGAGTGTGCATAGCATTCCTCCTCTGTAAAGAACAGAAATCACAAAGATGCTCAGGTACAAAGATACTCTCTAGCCTGAAAGCATTCCAATTTAGGTGCCTTCTGATTTTCTTGCTCTGTTTTTGACCAATGACATTCAGTGGGAAGGCTGATCAAAGGTGAAATTCAACACGCAATACTCAAATAGAGAACAGAGTCCTTTTCTGATTACAGTACAAGGGCAATCTTTCCCCTTTTCAGATGCCTGCTTTCTGGAATTCAGACTTCTGGTCCAGAAGACCTGCATAACCCACAGCAGACTTCTAACATTATGAAAATGTCAATTATGAAAAAAATCTTACCACTTGCATGGGTTTTTTTAAAATTTTTTGTGGTAATTTATTTTAAAACTGACTGCACACACACAGAGTGTTTGATAACTTCTATTGTTTCTACTTAACCTTGGTTCTGCAGTGACCCACACACCTGGCATGATTAGATGAAATCCAGTGTTAGTTGCAGTCCATGAGTAGTATTTCTAAAGTCTGATGATGATGATAAACTACAGAAAGTTTTGCTATCTTTGCCTTTTAAAAGTAAAAGCAAGGCTCTAATGGGATATCCAGTGTCTCCAGGTATAGGGTAAAAGCTTTACTTTAAAACTGTCACTTTGCTTTCCTTTAACAGAAAAGCTTATTTTAAAATTTAAACTATCAGCTGCTTATCAGGAATGCATCAGTATACAAAGACATACTGGAAAGTGTTACTTATTTTAAATGAATACTGCACAATCCAATAAAGAGAGGCTTAGTATTAGTTATTTTTGCTTGTAACAAAACACACTCCTGCTCAGCACAGTTCATTTAACTGTGAAGCATTACCTCAGTCTCAAACATTTCAGATCATCTCGTGTAACATAGCAGAGAACATCCATTAATGTATAGTCTTCAGCCAAGAACTACAACAAGAAGTTGAAATAAACATTTTGTTAGAAATATAATCTAACTTAATATGTTTTATATACCATCTGCCCTGAAAAATAGAAGTTTAAGTTTAGAAGAAACCTAAAATTGGGCCAAAACATGGTACATGTAACAGATCAATCCACATTGTTTCTAGAAATACAGTGAAACTACTTAATTTTTATACTGCATACTCTATATTGGCATACCAGGCACAATTTGAAAGGTGTCATGTTTTTACAGCTACTCAAAGCTTTTGTCAAGTGGCATTTCTATTGTTATCACTGGTATCTCAGAGTCACAGGCTTTAACGAACACAAATTAGAGCATAATTAATACCACATTTCACCCATGAGGAAATTTAAAACAACAGTTAAGACCTATCTTTTCAAAAGTGGCATCTAAATTTGATGTACTTGAATTTCAAGGAACCTTTGATCTGATCTGCAGGAGTGATAACTAGATGCAGGCTTTCCTAAATCAGCAGTAATTCTCAGATGCTCAACACCTCTAAAATTATGTAATTTGCTGCAGAGCAGACCAATCTACTTCAGGAGATTTCACTTCAACACAGTTAGCTGCTAAGGGTGAAACACCTACCCTGTATCCAGGGTATAATCAGCAGGAACTGCTGCAGTGTGCAAAGACACTGAAAAATTATGAACCAAAGCAATACTGTCTATTTACCAGAACATTTTATTCCCATGTTCATAATCAGATATAGGAATTATTAACAATACTGTATCTTTATGAAGGCCTTCATATTCATGGCTTTTTCCTCTCCTCTGAAAACAAATTCATCTCTCAAAATGTGCTGAAGTAATTAAAAAGGTTTGGTATCTCCTTGCACCGAGTCACAAAACAGTACCACAACTGTGTACAGAGAGTGAACAGAATCATTGCTACCTTGTTTATTGTGGCCTCATCAGCTCCTTGAACACTCAGCCAGTTTATGAGATCAGGGTCTTCAGTCCCTGTGCCAGTGGAATGACGATGACAGACAGACAGTCCAGGAATATCTAGAACAAGCATTTTTGAGAAAAGGTTTTGTGTTGCCAAAGCAACCTCTTGTCATTTTTGACTGCTGAAGCACTTTCTTCAGTGAGCTTAGAATACCAGTATCCCCATAAATGAAGATAAATGTCAATTCCCAAAGCACACACTTAATTACGGTTTATAGACAGTTATACACCAATTACTCTACCTGGTTAGGGGTACAGTTAAAGTAGTGTGAACACTGATACAGATACATTTTCTGTCCTCTTTGGAAAAGGACTTTACTAGTACAAGGCACATCAACTTCACTGTAACTGTTCCTACACTAACGTTGTTGCACCAATTTAACTGAACTGTTCAGCGTAACTCATGCAATTGGTGCATAGACAATGCCTTAGACTGAGGGTCAGCTGCTTTTGCAAAGCAACACTTCTTTGAAGCATATTACACAGAAACATCAAACTGCCTTAGCACTTCCACCTTCTTCAGGGCAGATACATATCAAACTCAGCTCCCCTCAGTAATCTTTAAGTTGTATTTACATCTCACCAATTAGATTGTTTTGAACTTTCAGTATAACAATTGGAACAGTCTGTAATTTAAAGAACACATTCCTAAACATACTAGATTATCCTCTTCAGAAATAAAATTTATTCTGTAGGATATGAGCCTCATATGCTTCCATATAATCACAATCAAAAATATTTAAATCATGCCATTACTTCTACTGTGATTAACAAATTCAGTAATTTGTTTCCACAATGTATATTCTTACCTCAAAGCAAACCCTACCAGAAGCAGCATAATAAAGCATCTTTGCTGAGACTGTCTCAATAAAAAGAACAGAAGTTTAGCTGCCACCGTCTTCATCTGTAGCCAGTATTAAATTTTTCCTTGAAAACTATTCTCACTTACCTATTGGCTGTGACCTAAGCCGCAGGTTTCTGATCTCTTGATCTTTTTCTTCTATAGCTTGATGTAAGAGGACTTGAAATTCTCTCTCCTTTTGAACCAACTCCTCCAACAACCTGTGAAGTAACAGGAAGGAAGCACACATTTCCTTAAGTAGTTTCAAGTTTTCAGGAAAGCACAGATCTTACAATACTTAAACTGGAAACCTTCTTGACAGAGACAAGGACGGACTTCTTCAGCTTTCATAGGAATATCCTCTCACTATAAATTTATTATGACCTATATCAAGACATAAACATTCACTGGTTCCTAAAGCTATAGCTGTTTAAAAAAAAAAAAAAAAAAAAACCACCAAAAAAGGCCCAGACACATCAGCCTCCATATACACATCCACCCACTAAACAGGTGGTATGGTACAAAATTTTAGTGAAATTTCTACAGCCAGCATTCTGCTTTAAACAAAACTGTGTAAACTGAGAAGAACAAACATCAAAGTGTTTCATAAACCAAGGGCTAAACTTTGTGACATAATCCTTTGTAAGGAAAAATGCCAGTTCACATCTCTCCAGCAGACATTTTCAAAGGTATGGCAAGGGTGGAGCTGTGATGAAAATGTGGCAAAAACTTACGGTTGCATTTCTTAAACGGGGAAAATACATTCTCATCCACACAAGGACTGTCCCTTCCTCACATATGAGAAGGCACTGTGTGCCTACCCTCCTGTGCTATATAAAGAGTGAGAAAAGAGGCAGCAAAATACCTTGTGTCCTCTCCTAAGCAATTACTTTTGAGAATGTCAAACAGAAAGAAATTGGAACCTGTGTTTGACTTCCTTCATAACACAAACCCAGACAGAAACCCAGAGAGATTCAGTGGTCAGTACCTTTCAAACTGATCAAAGGAAAATAATCAGAATACAATGGAAAATTAGTATGTGAAACTGCTGCATTTTGGTATTTTAGAAAAGCATTTTAGTAAGAAGGAGGTCTTGTGAACAGTATGTATTCAGGAACTTGGTCAGAGAAATTGGACATGGAGAACACTCATAAACCTATCACTCACTTCTGAGTCTTAGGAAGTTCTGCCTTGAAAGAATTGCAGCACCTTCACTCCTGCCTTGAAGCCTTTGTCAGCCTGAGAACTATGCAGTAACTGTTCCATTTGCCTATGATTGTTTCATAGGATGCAACCTTTTTTCTGGGACACTGAAAGATAGGGATGTTCTAGAATTCTGCTAGAGAATGTACCACAAAAGCACCTTACCTGTCTTTGCACAGAAATAAACTGCATCCCGTATGATTACTTTGTGAAAACATCTAGCCCTACTTTCAGCTTGCATGCAGGCCTACCAGCAGCATAGTTACGTTTGAGTGCTTCCACACCTGAGCTAACAATTCTTAACTAGTCTGTTCACCCTGCATGTGAACAGAGCTGCTTTGTGCCTCTACTCGCACCCACAGCTTGGTTAATCTCAGTGCAGACTGATATTCTGTCCAGACAGGTATGCAACCACCTTTCAGTTAATTTATTCCTCCTCTATCCAGTCTGGTTGAAAAAGGCCTTCGGGGCCAATAAAATAATCAACTATTTTCTCTCGATAACAGTTTGCTGCTTATGCCAATAAAGCTTTAATTAATACTTAAACAACCATCCATATTCTTTATCTCAAACTTCTGCACAAATGACAGGATATGATTATTTGGCCAAAGGCTAAGCATTTAAGAAATTTACAAAAGCAAAGTGCTAGAAAACAGTACCTTTACAAATGGATCACTTCTGGTGCTACTCCCCATCATAAACTTGGGAAGTGAAGTGAGACAATCTAAATTATTTATGTAGGTATTTATTTAAGTGTATCAATAAGGCAATCAAAACATTTCTCAGTGGTCATCACAAGCAAGAAAGTGAATTGTAACATAAGACCTCAACAATACTGATGCTTTATTAAAAACAGTACAGTCTAATGAATTACACTAACTATGGCAAAATTCTTGGACGTTTAAAAGCAAAGTGCAATTTAACGCTTCAATTTTAATTGGAACAATAACTACAAAGAACATTCTAGCAGCATAACTACTATCTTACTGAAGACGTTCTCTTTCTATCAAGGTCATACTCAAAATTTACTGAGGTTAGTAAGAATCCAATGTCATAAATCAGATGCTGCAAAAGCTAAAATACCTACTTTAAACAGACTGTCTGATACATTTTAATGAAAAGAAAACAAAATTATACAGAAGACTATTTGGATAAAATAATGGAGACAGAGATTTGTCTCTGACATTTCTTAAACAAACAAAAAACATGAAAGAACCACTTCTGAGGTTTGAAGTGCAATATGTGTATTTCTGAAAAAAATCCACTATCCAAATGTCTGTCTTATTTCTTCTTTTAAACAACACACCTATTTTTCCTGTCTTTCTCTGATGAACAAAATTTATTTTATAAAAAGTTAATGCTTGCTGTTAAGCACAGATCCTGCTGCAGCGCATAAAGCAAGCCTGAAGCACTTTCCTTGTGGAGTTTGTGTGTGGCTGTTGACTAGCTTGTGTTCATTCCCCAAGAATAACTATAGAAAAGAACAGCAAGTTCTGCCTTAATGGAAACAAAACATAACACCATTCATCAGCCATACACAGCATATGAAGGAGAGAAAAAGCAGAAGCTTGGCAGCAAGCTCAGTTTTTTCAGACCTTCCTTGAAAGAGCACCTGAAATCAAGACTGACTTTAACTTGCATCACTATTGTTCTGAAATGAATAAAACCAATGTGTGATCAGTCACAGCTAAACAATGACCATCATCTAAGTGAACAGCTTACAGTACTATGGAATTTTGATACAGTCACTAGTATTCTAGCACACACGTTTTAAAAGCAAAACAATACATCCTGTCACGAGTAGGCTAGTGTCTCCTGATGTCCAGACTTACCTGTTTGTCTCTAATTTTAGCCTGCCCAACTGGACACTCAGTGATCTGTGAGCAGCCTGGGAGTCGTGGGATACCGTAGAGCTGAGTGTGCTTACACCTGAGGTAGCTACTGCATCTTCCATGACAATGCACGGCTGTTGGATAGTTTGATTCTGAGGATGTTCATCTTGATCTTCTTCAGCTTCTATATCGTCCTGATCTGCTGTATCACTTTCAGATGCAAGACTAAAATGTGGCCTCAATTCTATTAGTAACATTAAAATATAAGCAAAAGAAAAGACATTAAAGATGTTAAACATTAAAACAAAAGCAGATCTAAGTGACTATTTACAGATCATCCTACAGTTTTGGTTAAACCAGACCTGAAATTTCTGTAGCAAGAGAACAGATGGTATTTTCTAGGGATTTAAGATGACTCAGACCATAACAGCATCTTAGTTTATGCTAATTACAAGCCTATCAAATGTTCAAAAGCTCTAAAAAACAAAAATCTGGATGAATAGGATTCCAGATTTGGCTAGCATTTCATGTCAAATTGTGCTGAAGTACTATGTGCAGCAGAAGTACTTTCTTTCACTTTATTCCATTCTCAGTGGTTTGTAATTTCTTATGTGTCTGACTGGAAATGTTTTATTAAACAAATAACTATTATTTCTCTTATATCCAGCTATTGTTGTTGTTGCTATTCTGGCATATTTAGCATTTTCTCATTATAAGAATACCGTGTTTACAAAAAAAAAAATGTATCCAAAGATATAGGGAGGAAATAACAAACAGACCCCTTTCCCAACAATTAGAAGTAACACACTTCCCTTCTACTTCTCAGGGACAACATTGCCTATTTTATAATGATGTGCATCCACAAAACAGCAGACGCAAAGCTATACGTGTACTCTGGTTTCTGTTATTCCCTGTTCAAACTACCTACCAGAGCTTACCAGGTACGCAAGATATATAAACAAGATCTTATACTCCTACAAAACCTATTATTGCAACAACATCTGCTTGTTAATTCTAACCATTTAATATAAATCTTCCTTCCTTCCTTCCTTCAATTGTGACTTCTTACTGCTGAGCACTCCCTTTAGTCTCCTCACCAAAACATACTTTTTTCCTGAATCGCACTTGGTTTTTGTCCTTTCTGCTGAAGAACTAACAAGTACGTTTCTCTTCTTTACAAAAGGGACATTCATTCCTTGATCCATTTTGTCTCTTCATTTCAATGTTACATACCTTTTTCAAGACTGAAAGTACTAAGATCAACGGAGCCATGCTTCCTCTAATTAAAGCAAGCAGATTTCTTATATAGCAGTTACCCAAATATTGCTAGGCAAGTATGTCTGAATCTGCTTTGAACTTCTGCATCACATCTGCTTTGTACGACTCGAACATCCCACAACTTTTAGAAGGGTTAAGGCCAGAGATAAATCTTCACATCACTGGGGCGGGG